CACATGAACGATATTTTAAAGCTGGCAAACCTGTACTTGGAAAATCTCCACTCTAAGATCATCCCGTGCGCCGAAACGCTTATGAAATTTTCAGCGTCTTGTTCTCTCCTCATACACAACAGCTCTAAATTCATGTAAAGCGGGGCAAAGCAGACTGCAGCTAACGACTCGCCAAGAATTTATCACCTGACATGTGCTGTAATATTTCAGGCGAAAATCGGTTGTTTGGTAAACATGAACAACTGAATAAATAACATTACGTCAACTATAACGGCGAGAGACTCAATGTAGCGTAGGGCTATATACTTTGAGGGCCCCCTGAGGAAATCAGCCTTAACCTTGGGGGAGTGCAAGAAAAAACGCCGCCATCAATTTAAAAAAATCTATTTTAATTTTAACCACAGCTAAACAAATCCCAGTCAGGCGTAATTTAATAATAATAAAAAAGTTAAATTAATTGAAAATATGAACAAAAGTATAAATAGAGGAAAATGAAGAAATATATATAATGTGTGCAAAATTTAAAAATACCAACACTATTATAAATAACAGTCGCATAATTGCAGCCTCATAATTTTGTTTGTATGTATTTTGTATAATATTTTTCTATATATTCTAAATTTCCTATCAGCTGAACAGCCCAGTGGCGACTCGTCGTATGAAACAACTGAGACCGGGCTTCACTGTAAAATTTGGCTCTCACACCGTATATTTTAATACCTACCATTTTACTATTAACATAAGCAAACAGTTTGTTAAACTAATTTCCAATTACCTATTACATTTATCAAAAATTAAAATAATTGTTTAGCCACGCTAAATTACTGGATAATTACATATAACATTTATTTTAATAACTTTTACCCTTTATTGGTTACGATATGAACAAATAATATCAACTAATAAATAATAATACGTATTATACCAACAACATACCCCGCCAAGCAATCCTCTGCACGGCACTGGCAAAGCGGCGAAGCTAAGTGAACCAGTGTACCATACAAACAAATTATTTACGACCTGGTGGACCAATATAGGTTTGCTTTGATGATCAGCTCGCAGCCGTCAATTCTACATCAGGCGGACTAGTTTATACATCAGGCAGACTAGTTTACCAATACCGGACTCGCCGAATTGCTATTCGAGTATAAATTACGAGACACATCATGGTCAAAGCATAAGAAGAAATAAGAACTATCAATCTGCGAAGTTTCAAAAAAATTGGCCGAAAGCCACTTTCCATAAGAAAAGTGCGGGGTCCTTTGCAAATTTAAAAGAATAAACCTGTTTTATAAAAACATTCACTTTAAAAAAGTTAAAAGTGAAGGCAAACGAAAAGCTGTCGGCGTTGTTTTTTATGTAAGTTGGTTGGTTATGAAAATTTGTTTTTATATTTTTTAATATTCATAAACCAAGAAGGAACAATTCTGTAAATTATTAGGAAAATATATAACTTTGTTTTTTTTTCTGTTACATTAATTTTATTGTAAATATAATTTTTAAAGTTCTGATATTATTATTAATGTAAACTTTTTTAATTTACGGTTATAGTAGGGCTATTGGCGAAGATCTCCATAATAAAAAATGTCGCGAAATTTATTCCTATTATTTGAGAGCGGATTAATAAAATATCCAAATAGTTGCATATTATTTTCTATAAAATCTAAATGAAAATCCTGCTCGTGAACATCGTCTTCCTAGAATATTGTAAATGCAACTAAAAATTTCCAGATGCATTTAGTCGTTTGATCTTGAAAATTTAAAATTTTTTACCTACCTAGTAATAAAACCACGAGCCTCACCTATTCACAATGTTACGATCCGCCACTGGTACAGACCGACAGATGTAAGCTTCCGTTTCTGACTCAGGCAAAGCTGTGCGAAATTAAAAAGCTTTACAAATATAATTTCTATTATTTCCTCTCGTACTTTTACTTTATTGTAAAAGTATTAAAATAATTCAAACAAATTCTAACGTTTTAAACAATATATCAAATGAAGTCAAATCAATCTTCTTCGATACCAGAAAACTCTGTATGCAAATGACGTCTGACTGGCTGTGAGTGTGAATATCCCAAACTCCCAGTTGAACTAAAAAAAGGCTCACTAAAGTGTATCAATCTCTTTTTCACATCATTCAGTACCATGGCATCATCTATAACACAACCACCAGTTTAACTTGTACCCGCAAAAAGGATTAAAATAGTTCTGTGCGGCTTCTCTACAATTTTAAGGCCTTCAGGCCATCAGAGAACATGTAAACGAGTTTACATGCGTACCCTTTCCACAAACCCTCCCCTAAACACGCCATAATTGCGAATATTTCTGCTTGATGTAGGACAAAATCCAGACAATGCCTTCTGTGCCATCTGGGTCTTAGTCCTAAAACTGCCACCCTTGTTCGTTTCCAAGGATCCGTCCTTTCAATGTATGTGTTACTTCAATTCCCATTCGAGTCTCAAAACGGTTTATGGTAGTTGGATTTTGGTATAGTCATGTCAGTATCGTCCTAGAACATATAGTAACGTGTTCATTGTTTTAGGGGATGTCCTTTGTTGCTATACTCGTAAGGCGTATCCGGTTGTTATTGTTCCTGCGCGATTATAGACTAAGTAGTTTTTATTATGGAACTAGTAATGTCTGAGTAGGCGCCCATGATTTATTTGCAAAGTAATTATAATTTGCGTAATAGATCAATCTGTGGTGTCAGGCCAGTTTGGATAAAAACAAATTCGGGATAAATGACGCGTACCGAAGGAAAATTAATTTCGGAATTAATTGCCCGAATAAGCAAAGCGATCGTTAATTAATGCCTATATTGTTCTGCAGCGTAATTGTGTTCTAGTATACGTTTTTTACGAAAAGGATAATTTTTCTTTCGAACGCTGCCAAAATAAAATCGAATATTATTTTCAATATACATCGAAACATTGCTTCAAATCGCGATTACTAGATCACTTAAAATATACAGGGTGAGTCATTAATAGTGGTACACAGCTTACTGGCAGATTGTTAACGTCAAAATATAGCGATTGAGCCTTGAGCGATTGATGCCTTAATCAAATGTTGCTCATTTTCGTTCTACAGGGTGTTAAAGTTGAAATAATATTTTCTTTTTTATCTATATTTTAAGTATGCATGGACTGATTGTTTTGAAAATTTGTAGTATTACGTTTTTTGAGATGGCAAATACGAATATGCAAATAGTGTTGGGGTCACGTCTAGGGGGCGCTAGTTGTACTGTCCTGTCAATGTCTAACTTTTTATATTTTACAATTTTGAATTTTTTATCTAAAAATTGTTGAACTACGTTCAATTATAAATAAAAAAAGATATACTTGTTAAAAAATCGATAAACTCAACTGTTTTCGAGATACAGACATTTTAAGTTTTTGAGATTCGACGGCAATTAAATTAGGACTATTTGCAATCTTTTAAGTCTTAATATTGATAAAACTCAATGTTTAAGTAAATAAATGTAAAATGTATTGAGGTTATGATTGATTCTTATTTAAAATTGATTGTTTAAACAAAAGCCGACAAAAGAAATGTACTTATAATAATCATAGTAAATAAATAATAAATGTACATGTAAGTAAATAGAAAATAGAAATAGCTTAGAAAGGGGCAAAATGACAGTTTTTAAACTGCTTTTCAACTTAACCCCTAGAAACAGAATGAAGAAACATAAAAAAAATAAAGAACACAAAATATCTTAAGTATAATAGAATAGAATCTTTAAACATAATCTCTACAGAATATAAATCGAAAAATATATAGATACACTTGAGAAAAACGTTATGGGGATACAATAAAGGTGTTAAGAGGGCGCCAACCTCCAAATAGAACAAGCTAAAACAACCCCCTAATGGTTTCCTCACCCTGTACGTAGGGATTTGGAGAAAAGAAAATAAAAAATGGCACAAATAAAATTCACTAATATATTTCTCTCTCTGGTTCTGGCTTTTACCGGATGTTCGGCGGAATACAGGGTCTACAGATGTCCTGGTATCCTGGACCGGAGACTCAAATCTGGAGCCCAAGTGTGATCTAATCTCTTCCAGGTTTACCATAAAGTTAGCAAATTGTGCGACTAACGTAATTCTTAGCTACTGAATTTTCCTTAAATTATCACTACGTCAATCTATGAGACTAGTTACAACGAATATTAACCAATATTCGTCAAGCTTTAACGAACTAAATAATTTGAGACTTTCCTCAAAATAAAGTACCTTATAGGCCTTTCAAAACAAAAAACTTTTCAAAACTTTTCTACTATTAAACTTTTATAAGAAAAAACTGTTCTTAATACTTTTCTAGCGTTTAAAACTTTTCTGCAAAACTTTTCTAGCGTTTAAAACTTTTCTAAACTCTTAAAACTTTTCTGGTAAGCTCTGGTGAGAGAAAAAGGAAGAAACAAAATTCAATTAGCACGTGGTTGCACAGCATTGAAGATCATACAAAAAAAAATACAAGCAAAATCCTAATGGTTAACTAGGCTAACATCTACTGGATCGAATTTAAGAGAAAACTAGAAATTTAATATTTAATTAATTATCTTTGATGTACTTTGTTGTTCACTGGTGATTAATCTAAGTTGAACTAATCGGTTTTATTATAAATCACACGCGAGCTAGTTGCTTTTACTAGTAGTAAAAATGAAAGAGCTTTAAGTCGCTCCGGCGAACGTTTTATTGATTTAAATCTAAAAAAAAAACTCGATCGACGTGATTGGCCGGTTGAACGAAATAAATAACCTTCAATGTTTGACAACCAAGTAACCTAATTGTTGGTACTCCAGATTCGATTTGCAAATAACAATACTAAAATGAAATAATACAAATGAAATGTAGTACAGCTAAAATTATACAATTACAGACATAATTACAATTCATACACAAAGTTTCTCCATGTTTATAACAGGTAAATAGTAAACATTTATTGCACACAGTTTATTATATTGGTTTCTATAACTAATTGCAGGGTATGACAAAGATTTACATGATGTAACAACAATACAGCAGTATACAGGTGGAAACAAAACTAACTAATAGTGATAACAAAGTTGAATTTTGTATCAAGACCTCAAGAAGCTGTTTAATTGTAGAGTTATTATTAAGATAAGTGAATGTTACAAACTTTTTTTTAAAAGTTCAAAATAGTGTATGACTTACAACAAACGGGCAGAGCAATATATTCTCTACAGGCGTGACAGATAAAACTTCTAGTATACAGGGCAGTGGCGTGGCGTGGAACTTCTTGTATATAATTCTGTGGTAGAATCATATATTGTAATACTGGGCACTATTTATGAAAATGCTCTTTATAATTTAAATATGACTTTTTTTCAATTGTCTTAATTCTTATAATTTAGTATTCAAAGATCTGTATTACTCCATATTAGAAAACTATTTACTAATTTTTAATTTAGATGTTCAAAAATCCTTTACGCCCTTGTGAAATATGTCATAGGTATAATACTAGAGTAAAACAGGTCAAGTAATGCTTCTTCGTTTTTGTAAGAAATACCAAACGCAGCATTTAATTTTTTTTTTACTATGGCCTCAATTCTAAACTTAATTTCTAAAACTCTAGAAGGATTAAATGGACTCCATTACAAAATTCATGATAACTATTTTATATCTGATTCTTCAAAAAATTAAAGATTGAAATTAACAATTGAAAGATTATTCAAAAAAGGTACTATTATTATAGGTCTAAGTTGATACAATGTAATTTCCCAAAAAAATATGTTTTGGGACAGTATTTTGCAGATATTTTTTCCAATTATGTCATGTTACATTATTATTTTTATATTTCATCATTTTCGAGAACAAATTCGTAACTAAAGATAATTGGTATACTCACAACTGTATAAAACATACTTTTCTTTTACGTTCAAATGCGTGATTAATAAAAGTTAGATGAATTTTAATTATTAACTTTCAAGGGTTACACATTTTGATATTTGTTCTTTCTACAATGCAGACTTTATTAAATAACAGGTTCAGTTAAGTATAATTAAGCGAAATAATATCATTTTTAAACGATTTCATATATTTAACTGTAATAAATTATCGGAAAATTAGTTTACTACATCACATTTCTCATTTATCTCCTATTAACTCTACTGAAAAGATATGTCTCCGGATCGTAAGTATAAACAGGACCCCTGATCGGTTCAACATTCTGGTATTTTAACTGTGCGCTGTACTCCATATTCTTCAGGTCGTCCTTAGTAGAGTAAACCACCTTTTGCAGAGCCCCACTGGGATGGTAAATATAATACACGCCCCTGTCAACAGAATCATCAATCTGCAATCTTGCCCTGGTACTATTACTAGTACTGTTACTGGTACTATTAACGCTGATCACAGTCGTTGTAGGTAGCTCCGTAGTGGTGGTTTCTGCCGATTCCGTAGTGGTAAGTTCCGGAGGTGGCCCGTAAATCGGCTTCGGTGGTCCGTACTCCTGCTGGGGCGGCCCGTATTCTTGCTTCGGAGGCCCGTACTCCTGCTGGGGAGGACTAGAGTCCTGCTTTGGAGGAGCGTATTCGATGGGTGGAATGTCTCCTAGTTGCGGTAGATTGTCTTGCCAGGGTATTTCGATCACTTCCACTTGCTGTATTTCAACATCTTGGTCGCCGGGGTCTGCTTTTGCCAGTGCAAAAACGAATATACTGAACACTAGAAGCTTCATGATACTCAGTTGTCGGTTGAATGGCTCGTGTTGATATTAATTTAATATTTATACCGATACAAATTAAGGTTTAATTGCCAAAATTAGAGCTAGTGGCATTGGGCTGTTAAATATTCATTTCATCTAGCCACCCGTGCTAGCCAAAAGTTGAATGTAGTCACGTAAAGGTCGTGCCGTCCCCTGCATCGCGAATGAGGCTATAAATATTATTAAATTAATTTTGTAAATTGCCAGCGGTGTGCCGTTGTTCTTTTAATTACCGCGAATTCAAACGTTTGGGATTTTGTTTGCTAATGCCTAGGTAGCTTTAATTAGTTTGTAGCTGTAATGGGGGCGTAATGCATCACGGTGCAATTTTAACTGTATTCTAGTATTTTACTAAATGTGTGACAACTGGAGTGAATTACAGCAGGGCGTGTTTCGAGTACGCTCAAGTATTTATTAGCACGGAGTTTTGCTGGGCCGGAAAATTTGTTCTTGCCTAAGAAAACAAAAGTGCTTAAACGGGGTATTTTAATTCGCAAAACAAATTGCTCGAGTTAAAGTTTTAACTAGTTAAGGAAAACTTACTCCTACGTTACCTTCACCAGTTTGTTTATGTTTCCATATGGAGAAACATGCAATATAACAAACACCTTTGTAAGATAGCAACAAACAACGTTTGGGAATAAAACTATTCGAAGCAGAAACAGCACCGCTTTTATACTGGAAGCTGTAATTACAGAAAAAATAATAACTAAATAACCAATATTCTATTGGCAAGAACGAATAATAAAAAAATTAAATAATAATGAGATAACTATATTCATGATTAAAGCGTGACAGCACTAAAGTAGGTGTTTGATTTATCTACCATCTTCGTGATTGCGCTTGTAATGAAAGAAAACCACATCTGCTGAAAAATATATGGTTTCAGCACAAGTAATCTGTGCCTTATACCATTCTTCTCAGCAGTTTTGCTCATTTAATATTGAAACCTATAAATTAAATCTCTCATAAACCTACAAAAACAAAATCCCACTGGATTAGGGTCGAGGTCAGTGAATAGAGCATATCATTTAAATGGCTAAAATTTTGACTAGGTGCATACTGAGGTGGGACACCATCAAGCCAAAACCAAGTAGTGTGTAAATTCATAAAAGGTACACCATCAAGAATATCAAGGAAATTGCTTTGAAAATGTTTCTGAATACTTGATTGAGGTGACAATGTACATATAGTACTTATAAAAAGAGGATATCTGTTGATTTCTTGACGTATCTAATTACAAAAAGATTGTCGTGGGGGAGGGGGAAGGTTGGTTCAATGGTTGTCACTATCTTCATTCAGTATATAAATTTGTACAAAATTCTAACTCAGCATATTAGAAAACAAGGGAGTTATTAATAAAAATCGTTTTTAAGAATCTTAATTTAAATGCCTTTTATTAGTCCAGGAGATTAAGGAAAAAATTAGGGAAATTTTTCACTGAGATTTTTTCGTAGAAAAGTGTAGCACATATAGAGTTTTGACATATAGACATAAGTATATGATTTTTCGCGGTTTTTGACAAAAAGATTTCAAATAAAAGTTCAAAATTAAATATTCTACAAAACTGCTCCTATGAAAAATTTCGATTTTCCCAATAGTTTTCCTGTATAATTTTTAAGTGAAGTACAATTATATGAAAATTATTGATTTAGAGCCAAAATAATGGTCCATTCATTTTTAAATAACAAAAATTAATTAGGAAAAAGAAAATTGAGTATAATTCTTTGTAAATCTTATATAATTTTCCGAGATTTGAATATTTATGAGCATCAAATGTACCGTTTTATAGGTTTTCGAATTAATTATGCACTTTTTAATATTTTCCAGAAAAATCTGTTTTCTGTGAAATTTGTAATATAATGAAATTGAAAATTTAAATTTTATGAGAATTGAAAGGAAATTTTCTGGAACAGCAAAGGTATAATAAAAAAAATTATATTAATATACTTTTTTAAATTTATTTGTAACTGAAAACCGACATTTTTTATTTATTATTTTTAACAATTTTTTATGGACCCCCATATCTAAGTTTCTTGTATAGTTAAAACAGCTTAATCGCTGTCGCAAAAAAATTTCAAAGAAAACAGATTTTTCTGGAAAATATTAAAAAGATAATTAATTCGTAATATACACCCTCGAAAACCTATAAAATGATATGTTTAATGCTCATAAATATTCAAACTTCGGAAAAGGATATAGGGTTTTCGAAGAATTTTCCGCAATTTTCTTTTTTCTAATTCACTTTTGTTATTTAAAAATGAATTGACCATTATTTTAACACTAAAACATTAATTTTCACAGAATCTGTGAAGATTTAGAAAATTTATTTAGAAAATATACGGGAAAACTATTGGGAAAATCGAATTTTTCATGGGAGCATATTTGTAAAAAAGTTAATTTTGAACAACTTTTATTTGAAACTTTTTATCGAAAAAATGCATCTTCATTGAAATATTGGCAATTATTGGTCCAAAAACGCGAAAAATTATATGTACAGGGTGATTTTAAAATATGTAGCCAACCTTATAGGGCTGAAACTAGAGGTCAAAATAGACTGTTTGAACTAATTTACCTAGACACCAAAATGCCCCCCTAACGAGTTACAGCCCCTTTAAGTTAAAACAAAAAAAAAAAAGTAAAAATACAAATTTTTTCTAAATGTCCTAGGATATTTTTTCAAATTTGGCATACGACCAATGCTAATAAATAACCATGCATTGAAGTGAATATCAATAAAATGCCTTGACGGCATGGGGGTAATGTAGGGGTAGTCAGTCTTTCTTTCACCCTGTATTTTTTTATACTCCATATTTTGATGACTTATGCAGTATCATTGGACAGATAATTTAATTTTAAAATGTTTTTTTATTTTGATAATTTTTTATACAACTAATATTAAACGAGATAATTTGATTGTATTGACTATTTTAAAGTAAAAAAAAAGAATGGCAAGTAAGGTACTGTTAATTGCATTAATTCTAATTATTAGTTAGTAGTATTCGATTTTTTCCTTATTTTCCTGGACTAATACGAGGCATTTATGTCTAACTTTCCTGTACTATATCTCAAAAACGCAGCTGCCAAGTTAAAAACGACAATAATTATTTTTGCCCAAGTAAAAATTTGTGAGGCCCTTATTTGGCTCAGGGACTCCTGATCAAACGGATTTAATTATTTCGTTTTTTTTTTCTATTAAAACCTATTGATCAAAAAAATATCTTGTATTTTTGTTATACTAACATCACACTTGACGAAGACATCAACACGTAAAAATATTCACTATAGAAAGATCTTACAATTTCCACATTTTATTTAGATTGCTTTTGCAGGTGGTCTCCAAGTGAATGGAATTATCTAATAAATATTAAAAAAACTTTTAGAAAAACATACATTTTGTCTAGATACAATGTCAAAAGAATTAACCTATATATGTATTAATTCGAATCAGCTTTCACAGCTGATAATATAATATTTTTATAAAGAACCAGATATTGTTCATATCATATTTGAACTCTACTTGTTGAATTTGGTTTTAAATGTTGCAAGTTACTTTAAATGCTCTAGTTAAAGCTAGTAATAAAATCAGTTTATTCGACATATTTCTCTTATCAGAATCCTAACGGCCCTCAAAATTGCAAAATCCCATAAACTTTATGTGACGCGCCTTCAAACTGTCGATCGATAACGTCTGATTATGGCAATACTTATTCACCAAGCCATTCCAACGTACTGCAGCACCTCGCAGGGTACTAATAAGTACATTTGCAACAACCAAAACGACACATCCCAGCCTTGTCCTCCATAACATGACGTGAATAAATCTTATATCATATTTCTATATGTCATTTTCCAGGTCATCGTTCGCGGTATATAAACAGACAAATGCACATACACTTTGCCAGTCGAAACCAAAATGTTTTCCCTCACAGGCGCCATTGTAGCGTTCTTAGTAATAGTAGTTGTGGTTGCGGAGCAACCGGTTAGGGTTAATTCGAAGTTTTCTCAACAGTTCCAAACTCCGCAAGGTCGTGCTTTCCAACCTATCCTTCTAAGACCTCTAGGAGGACAGCTAGTGCTTCTGGAACAACTTCAGAGCGCTCCACAACCCGTCAACAACCCTCATCAGCCTCAAAACAACGCGCCCGAAGTTAGTGTTAAAGATGATGATAGAAATGCCACTACAACAGCGAGAAATTCTACAGAATCTGAACTAGAATCACCCGCTGGTGGAAGGAGTGAGAAATTGACGAAAACAGAAGACGAAGGTGTTTATTACATCTACCACCCCAATGGTGTTCTTCAGAAGGTGGCCTATGCTACCAATGATGACGTGGAGAAGATGGCCTTTAGTGCTCGACTCAAATATGAGAATGTTGAGCCTATTAGAGACCCGATTTATACGTACGATCCAGAAACATTTGTTTTCAAAAGAGTTTAGGATGACTGATGCTTCCAAAAGGTACTGACAATATACAGATTTAATTTGTATTTGTATGTCGTCAGTATTTTTTCTTAACAGAATTCTACAGCATTCAAAGATTGAAAATTGTATATCGTATAGTATAGGTTTATGTATTGTGCAGTATTCTCCAGTTTATTTTGTTTAAGATTGGCAAGACTGAAATTTTTTTGAAAAATTTGTTAGAAATATAATGTTGTTTATTGGATATTACCAAAAGAAATTATGTGCTTATTTAAAATAATATGTATCTTGTTGATTGTTATAAAAAAGTTAATACAGAAAAATACCTATTGTACCTGCATTAATTATTTTTTCTCCAACAATAATAATTTAACTGAACACTTTAAGGCAACTAAAATAATTGCTTAGGTATGACAGATTATTTATTTTATTTATCTCCGTGTTTCTGATTAGGCAAAATTAATTTTGTAATATTAAATTCTTGACTGAATTTTTTGGGGCAAAGGGTTATTCATTTTGTCGTGAATTTTCCTTTCGATGTGGCAAAATAATG